CAATCAGAGAGAGGAGTGCTCCTTTGCTTCACATCCAGGATGGTTCCTTCCTAGTCGGCCTCGGGCACAGCTCATCCTGCTGCTGCTGCTGCTGCTGCTGCTGACAGATTTATAAAGTTTAAACTCTACTGTATCAGTTACAAGTCACACTAGAATGTTCCTTTTTACATTAAATACATTTTGTGATCTCTGAGGTATAAACAAGTCCGTCAGTATGTCCATTTCTATTTGGGGCAATGCATCCCTGTTTTCTGAACAGTTGCACTGATTTAACATCTTACTGGTTTTGCGGCTGAAGATGATTATTTGTTTTTATTTTCTTGTTATAGACACAAATTAAGCAAACTTTGTGGGTTTGCAATCAAAAATAGTTGCAGTGGTCAAACATTTCATAAAAGAATGATCCCAATCAACCACTGGTATCGGATTGTCACTTGGAATCCAGACTGAAAAAAAACCTGAAAAAATGCTGATGCATTCCTACATAAAGTTTTCTTACTGAGGTTTTTTATAGTCAAAAAAACAAAATCTAAAATAATCAACATGAATGTAGGTTCTTATAAAAATACATATTATGTTGATGTAGAAAGACCAGTATAACAAAAAGTAAGCCTCTTTCTAAATCTAACCGTCCTTGCATAACAAAATCTGTCCTCTGGAGAGGCCTTAAACCTGTCAGTCTGTGGGGGCAGTTGTGTTTTATTTTGGCAACATGTTTGGTAAGAAGAAGACACTCCTCTGGTTTATTTGCGTCACAGTTCTCAGAAATCATTGGGTATGTAATGTGCATAAATTGCCAGGTCTTGCTTTTAAATGTGGCAGAAGAGTCTACCTTATCATGATACATCTCTGACACTACAACAAACCAAACTTCATATCCTTTGATGGCAGTGCAGCCGTTAAATACAATACTGCAGCTCTCTGTGGAATAGATTAAATAAGGCCAGTGGCTGATTTGGTCATTGTAGTGTAATGTTTTACACAACTAACAGCTGTGAAAACTTGTGCACAGCTTTGGAAAGGCTTATATAATGTAACTGTGCGCTGTGTGGGTGTTTTAGATGTAACCTGCAAAGTTACCCCACAAATGTAAACAAACTTTGATGGTGGATCAGGGGAGGGAGAGCGCTGAGCGAAGAGGGCAGAGAGGATCTGGAGCTGCGAGCCGTGCATTTGCTTTTTTCGGGGCTGTGTTGAGTGACCTGCACACACACAAGTGTGAGTGAGCACCCGTGGGAGTGAGCGCCTGGTGCATCAAACTGACGAGCCTGAGCTTGTGTTGTGTAAAGCATCTTTGGAATTTGGCTTCGCCGTCCTTCTCTTCTCTGTCTCCGTCCCAGTGCTGACCTTTGTCTCTCTGAGGGTTTGAAAATGTCCCCTCTTCACGCTCAAGCATTTCATTGAAAGCTTTGTTTTCTCTGTAGGACACCTGATTACAATATTTTAGGAGAGAGCGTCCTTGAAACCCTGCATGTTTTTTTTTTCTTTGTGGTTATAGTAAAGTGGCAGTTGTATGGTTTTCTAGATGAGTTAGGGTCATCGCCTCGCTGAAAGCTTTTAGACCAGAGACAGCATCTTCTCATCTTTCCTCTTCAGTATGCGCTGCGCTATGTCCCAAGGAATGTACAGCATTGACTTAAATATGAAGAATGTATACCTCTTTTTGTTTGGGAATCGCAGTATTCAGTAGCAGCCTTCTCCTGTTTTTAGACAAGCTGTGTAGTCCCAGGGTATGATTATATTGATGCTCAGCTACATTCCCGCTGTAAAGGTGTGCTTACCAGATATAGTCAATAAATGTGCTCCATTCCTGGACTAATTTCCCTTTTTAGAGCTCCAGTTCACAGCATTCCCTTTTCAAAGAGGTCACCATTAACATATGCCAGCAGTAAATGCAGGTAAACGTGAACGGCACTGTTTCCTACACAGCGTTGTGATACACTAATGTTAAACATTTTTACATTTGATCAAAGTTAGCAGCTTTTAAAAGGGCTTGTCACAGCTTTGAAGGAAACATTAATCAAGAACAGAGCACTTTTCAATTAGACCATAGCTGTTCAAGGGTGGTAGAGATCACAGCTTTGATGTGTTTATGTGTATGTGTGTGTGTAAGATGTGTGTTGCATTTCTGCGCCCCATGGTTAATCGTGGCTGGGCTGTAAATCTTGCTGTGTCTCCTGGTTTACTCGGGGCCCATAAACTAGAAGGCAATTATGGAAAACAACTGGATGCAAGATTTCTTCAGTCCTGCAAGATTTGTGGTTGCAGCCTAAAAGGATTTTTACCCTCCTATCTACCCAAAAGGAATTGCTTGGCCTCAGCCCCCCCACCCCCACCTCAGCCCCAGTTTCCCGTCAAACATCGATTGGCCTCTCATGTCTTTGGCAGATACGAGGCACAACGGAGGAAAATACTGTACCTAAAAATACTGTGTCAGACCTTGGCCAGTGGCCATTAGGTTGGCATACTCATGATTTATTCATGTGGTGTCAAACACACACACAGTCAGCCTGACCTGCACTGACTCATATCCATCATGTTTTACTCTGACTTGAAACAAGCAAAGACTTCCTGTAGAACAGCACTAGATAGGTTGTCACATTATATTTGATTATATTCATCGTCTATGATATCAGGTTTCTTTCCTCAGTCTGCATCATATAGGCTTATTAGGAGCCGGATGCTTTAGTGGAAAGTTTTACATTGGGAGAGATAGTACCTCATGAATAAAAACATGAGCAGCTTGTGCTGCTTTGATGTGGGCCTGGCTGAGAGCCTGAGGAGTGGGCTGGAGCTCAGCTCTCTCTGCCTATTTAACCATTTGCATAATTGTTATAACTGTCGAGGCCAGCAGTGCAATGCCCTTAATAAATGTTAATTGTATAAGACGCAAGAGGAGATCCCAGGGTGTCACTGCATGCGTCTCTGCTCATCCATAGTATATTACTGTGTGACAGCAAGATACACTTGTGTGAAATGTGCGTACTGGGAGCCAGAGAGGTTGCATGTTTCCTTCAAAATCATGAATTTTACTGAAAAAAGTTCCCAAGTAAATGTAATGGTTCTTCATAAAATAACTTGCAGTGACCAACCTGAAACTGGTTTATTGGTCGTCCTCCAGGTTGCATCTTGCGACAACAACATACTTTTACTTGAAGAGTCATACTTGGCAGCAATTTCTCAAATATCAGATGTCCTTGAATGCACACAGTTGGCAAATGCATTACCTAAATAAGGTGTTCTCGTGATCACTAAACTGAAGCAATTTTAAGCCTCTCTGTTTATCTTCAAAATATAATACATGCAAAGCAACAGTTCTAAGTTAGGAAATTCGTTTTAAAGTTGTTTAGTGTTGCATATAATGGACTGAAAGAAGCAAAACGTGTGGTATGGCCCTTTAAACCCTACCTGTTCTACCAGTGCCACATCAGCCGGCCCTCGGGCCCTGTTTATAGTTGGAGAGACTGCGGCGTGTTTGTGTGTTTTATGGTTTCTGGAATGTTTTACGGCTGCTGGGGGTGTTTATGCATGGGAAGAGAGAGGGTCAACAGGGTGAAATCAATAGAGAGGTTGTTTGAAAGAAGGAAGGGCGGGAATATGTGAGTGATTTGACGGAAGATTTACTGCAGCTCAAACCTAAATTGATAAAACAATAGTGCCTCTTATGTAGGTGTTCGAGGTAACTTGGCAACAGGTTTTGAAAAAAGTCAAGAGAACATATGAGTCATTGTATTGTTTTGGCTTTTTTTTCCAACAAAATGTTGCATTACCGACAGAAAGCTCTGTATGTCATGTATTGAGGCCGTGCTAGTTTTGTGATGCAAAACTGAAAGAATGGTACACTAACAAATGATTTTCATGAAAGACAGGACATTTGCAAACAAAATAAGGTGCAGCCAAACCTGATACACTATCTCTAATGTGAATTGTAACCAAAGCAATTCCATCTGTTTTATTAACCTTTTAAAAAAAAAAATAAGCCCTGTGTTATTGGTTGGATTATAGTTACTTTGTAGGATTGTGAAGTGACATACAGTATGCTGCCCTGCCTTAGAATTAAACAACATGACCCCACCAGATTAACACGATCCTGTTGTCTTCTGTTGGGAAAGAATAACAAGAGCTCCTGAGAGGCCAGAGGGATGTTACAACTACATTATGAAATACATATTTTCAAATTAGTTTGGGATTGGTCTTCTTTGTAAAGACATCAATTTACATCCATTGTTTTCCTTGAAAATGGTTTTCATAAAGGTCAATTTGAGTGTGTGTGTTTTGAGTGCTTTTCTTTGCTGTGATGTTGTGGGAAGCTCAGTTGTTCTAGCTGTGCTCTGAAGCAGCTGTCGTTACAGAGAAACACAGCTGATGTAACGTCCGTCAGCCCATGCTATTCTTTCAAAGATCAACATCCAGTAGAGATGAAAGAGGTGGAGTCCATTTTAGCAAAGGAGGGTAGACTAAGAGCTTAATCTTTTGATTTTGATTGCGACTTGATGACATTGCCGGTCAGTTCTCTACTTTAGTCTAGACTAAAATATCTCAAGTATTGGATGAATATTTATGAAATTCTGTACAAAGATGTATGGTCCCCGGAGGATGAGGCATACTGAATTTGGTGATTCCCTGACCTTTCATGTATCACCACAATGTGTTTTTAGTGAAATATCCTAGACTCTCAAATGTGTATATTTTCAGGTCCCTGTAGTCCAATGACAGCACAATAAAGGTTTTTGGATTGTGGACAAAACAAGACATTTGAAGATGTCATCCTTGGTCTTTTATCATTTAATTTTACTTTTTTTTAACTTAACTGAACAGATCTATAATGCCTAAAAAGCCAAGAATAAACATGTTATTTAAAACACAATTTACCAACAAGTAGGGAACATCTCAACAGAGAACCCATCAAAATGTTGCCATCATCAGCATGGTCATCATCAGCTCATGATTAACTATGAACAGATCTTCTGACTTAATGTTCCTCTTTCTTTTTCACAGAGCACCTTACCCCCCCACCGAGCCCTGTAACCAATGGCAACCTCAGTCCAAACACTTCCTCTGACCCGTGGCCCCAAAAAAACCTTCCGTAACCCGCTGCCCCTCTCGTCCCGTTGCGGCATGGGAAGTGTAGGCAGTCTGGTGGAGAGGCCGGACCTGTCTCCGACTAAAAGCAGCTGTGCAGTTCCACAGGTGAGACCCAAGCAGACCAACGGCCTCCTGAAGAAAGGCTTCACCCAGAGAGAGCTGCTCAACTACCTCAACATCACCAGGTGAGTGTTGCTGTTTCACATGAAGGCGAAGTAGTCTGGAAGGTAATGCAAAACGTGCCAGGACTTGACCTAGTGTGTTTCTAAACAGGAGAGAGCCTAAAGCAGGCGCTGACGGGAAGAAGGACGTTATCCCTGGCCGTGAGGAGGACAACTTATACGCCAAGGTGTACCATAAAGACGGCACAGAAATAGATTTGACTAAGAACTCCCTGCCAAGTGCGGGCAAGTATGAAAAGGTAAATATTGTTCTTCAAAAAAGTATCCTCTAAACTTTAGAGGATACTTTTTTCCACGGTAGCTTGTGAATTTACTCCAAGTGTACAAAAGTATTATTTAAGTGTTGATTATAGTTTACATCATTAATCCAAATCTGTAACTAAAGGTACAAAACAAATGTAGTGGAGTAGTAGTACAAAGTAGCAAAAAAGATTGATATTCAGGTAAAGTACAAGTCCCTCAAAATCTTACTTAAGTACAGTATTTGATTAAATGTACTTACGGTAGTTACTTTGAACCGCTGGTAAAAAGCACTATATTTTCCTGAAATGTTGGGGAAGCATAAGTACCATAGCAAACAAAAAAACAACTCAAGTGAAGTAGTCCTATTTCCAATTCAAAATGTATATGTATTCACAATACATGTGTGCGATGAATGTATGACGTCATGGATACACCTTACACAGTGTTTCCCACAGATCTGAAATATACTTGTCGCGGTAGGGGGGGCGTTGCTAGGAATACGCTCATCTACTGTGTTGTGGGG